GAGTTCTGGAGTACTTTTCTTGTATGAATATCTGTTACTCGTTTTACCAACATGTCATCTCTTGTGATTTAGCCTGAACAGTAAGCACAACAGGACAAACGTTATGCTGGTGAAGATTTGCACATGATTGTGCTTGTTGTAGGCTCTCTTCTAAATATGCTCTTAGAGGCATGGTGAGCTTCAGCATGTTTCATGGTCATGAAAAAATAAAGATGCTGTATTTACAGTGTTTTGAGAACATAATTTCAGTCTTTCTTAAAATTTCAAAAGCTAAATTGAATAAAACTTACTTGGCAAGCTGAGTAACTTTGGAAAGGTCTTTTAAGTTTATTACTTGAAAACAGACCTAAAACAGACCTCCTTCTAACCTACTGGAAAATATGGAACACTTTGTAGTTCACTGTTTTTCTTAATTCTCAGTGTGACGAACTGTGTCACTGTTCTTACCATTGGTTTTGGTGGAGAATTATGGTCTTGAGAACTTTTAAAGCAAGGTCAGAGTTCCCTTCAAGCAGCGGTAGAGAAGTCCTTTTCTGCGCTCCCACCCTCCATTGTCCACTGATCCTAGTTACTCTTCTGAGGCTGTAGGCTCAGCCAAGTCAGGCAAAACTCCAGTCTGGGGAGAGGCAGGCAGAAAATTTTGCTGTCCTAGGTAGGGTACGCTCATGGCTGATGGCCTTGTGGCATCTGAGGAAGAATGACTGATGGATTTATAGGTACTAGAGTGGGGAATTTTTAAATATATATCTAGAGCTGCCCGATTGTGAGACTTACTGTTTCAATGAGAAAGTAATGGTACTATTATAATGAAAGTTGTCAGCTGCAATTACAGTATTAGTGCCTGAGAGACCTAATTACTTGCATTCTAATAAATGTAAGGATTGCATTAAACAAAAAGTGTTTTTTACTGTTAGGAAAATAAGATTGAGAAACAATATCTTGGTATTACAAAGGAGATGGTTCTTCTGTGGGTGATGTTGAAGTAGTGGGTACACACCAATGTCAGGATCAAACTCCATTTGAAGGAGTAGGTATTGATCTTAAGATTCCAGTGTGATTTTGTAATTTCATTTTTATGTAGGTGTGTGGCAACGTTTAAGTGATTTGCCAGTCACAGCTGGTTCATGTAGGTGGATTTAACAGCGTGGTTGGCAGCCTACACCTCTAGCACACTTGTGCACAGCAGGCATGAAACTGAGCAGTTTTGGTCTCCCCATTTCTGCCAGTGAGAATTTTAAAATGTGCTGTGGGTCAAGTAAGATTATTGATGTGATAACAGGTGACCACTGGCTGCTCATTTAGCAACCTTTCCTGGCTTCCCCCCCAGCCACAAGGTCCTGTCCAGTGTCAAACACTGTTACTCCTCAAATTAGGCACACAGGAGGCATACAGCTTCCCTGTAGTCTTCCTTCCCTCAGCAGAGCCAGAATAACTGATCTTTTGAGCAGGGCCAGAATAACTGATCTTTTGTGTTTGTAACTTTGTCTTACAGTCCTACTGCCAGTGGGTTTTATTTTGCTTGTTCCTGAAGTTTTAGACAGGAACTAATACAGGTCTTTTTTTTCCTAGGATTTATACACTGTTAAATAAGTGGTTTACCTGTAAATAGATCCATGTCATTCTGGGGAACATGAAGCATTTTTTGTGCAGCTCTCAGAGAGAGGATTTCACTTCACATGTGACATAAAGTGTTTTTGTGCTGTAAGATAAAATGTGATATTTGGGCATAAAAACTGTGGACTGGTATTTTTTTGGACTACAGTGCTCATGATGGAAATTAAAACTGAGAAATAAATCAGATAAATTAAAAACCACCTGTTTGCTATCCTGGGAAACTTTAAAATTGTCCAGGGATTTAAAAAGGGAAAAACCCACCAACCTGAAACTATATAACATCTGAGATGTTGTTCTTCTGGACTAGATTAAAACTAAGCCAACAGCAGATCTCAGATCTCTTTTCTCTTAATATCTACCAGGAAAGGACCAGTGATCACTGTGATTCTTCTCCTGTGAGTCCATGCAGTCATGGTTTAAATTAAAGGCTGCTTCCAGATGATACAGTCCAACAGCTATAGACCTAACCCCTCTTTCCTCCTCCTTCTCAATGGCAGGAGGCTGCTGGTTTGTGTAGGCTTTCCATGGATACTTGTATCCCTGTCATTTGATACGCTCTTGTAAAGTGGGAGGGATAGCTTATCAGTCACAGGGAAGTTGTTACTCATCTTTGAGATCTGAAAATGGGGCAACTTAGTGCTTTAATAGAACTTGCTAAAATAGTGCTTCTAAAACTTGAGTCAGAAGAAAATGTCATTAGTTTGCTAATTAATGACTGCAAAATACAAAGATCTGCTTCACTGAATGTTTCTGCATTGCTCTGTAAAAATTTTGGTTTGTGCTGGAAAAAATAAAACTCTGAAACTGGGTTTATATAAAGTAGAGGAGAAGCATATACTTTCAGCTGGCAGAGGTTGTCTAGACTTGTGCAACTGAACATTGTTATTTGAATATGAATACGTGTTGTTTTCATAATGAGGGACATATTTTCCAGCCACATTGAACCTTATTCTCCATGCAGAATTTAAGGTATGCCTTTCTTTTGTGATGGATTGTGCCTCTTGACTTTGTCCGCTGAGGCTATTAACACCGGTTCAGGCCAGGAGTCATCTTCTGCTGTGACCTGCTGACAGTTCCCTTTTCGTGGAGAAACACGTCCAGTTAACTTGCAAATATGAAAGCCAAATGGAAGATTGCCCGTGCTTTTAGAATATCCTTCAGCCAATATGCATAGCAGTCATGCATATTGGCTTTCTTTTATTTAGCCATATGGCAGTGACATGTGCATTACCTGCTCTGTCCTTTGTCGTAATTGCCTGACTCATTTTACAGCAAGCATTTAAAAAGACTGAAGAAAGAGGTAGAAACTTTCTTAAGCAGTGTGTAGATCTCAGAAAATTAACTCAATAAAATTGTGTCAGTGGTTCTATTTGTTTATTGCAAAGCTGATTACAATCTGTCAATTTACTTGTATAATCATATTAACTATCTTAATTTGTGAATTCTAAACTGTTCTGCAGAGTCATGAGACCTTTTCTTGGCTGTTGTGCTAGAGTGGAACAGCTGGGACTTAAAAGCCAAAAACATTTGTGTAGTGGCTAAAATATAAGGATGACTCAGCTGAAATTTCTGATGACGTTATGCAGTCAGGGAACTTAAGCACGTGGCTTGCCCGTAGCGTCTCACAGCCGCTGGCTTGTCATGACCAACTTAAATGACCCCTGTGCAGGTACTCTAAAACAAAGTTGGGCATTTTTATGCACTACCAGTGCTAATTTCCCTGAATTGGCTGTATTAAGTTTTGAGATTTATTTTTTTTAAACTGACAAAAATGATGTGAGGTGGGAAGAATTTCTAGAATGCTGTGGAATAAGAGAAGAAAAATAACAGCAATGTGTCCTTTGCATACTGTCTATCTAACCAAGAAGTTCTAGATTATGATAGAAGTTGAGAGGGAAGAAGTGGAAGAAAATATTTTTTTGTTAACATGTTTTCAAAAGAAGCTAGTTTTTGGAAAAAAAACACAGAACAAAAGAAGGACAATAAAACACCTTAATGTGGAATGGTCAAATTTAAGGGGAAACCTATCGTCTGATTAAATAATGTCTGGTTAGCCTCAAGTTGTAATTTTTGCAAGTTATATCTTCCTTTTCTCTTTAGATCTATTTTCCTTTCTTTGTAATTGTCTTTGAAACTGTTTAATCAGTGGAAGGTGGGGACAAATAAGGATCAAAGAGTGGTGATTCTGAGCAGTGGGATTTGTTTCCCACTTTGATGTTGGAATAGAGGGGGTAGGTGCTTCAGCTCCTTTTCGTTGTTTCCTCATCTATAAAATGTGGATAATGGCACTTACTTCTGTGACCAGCTCAGACTTTGATAGAGGAGGATTACTGACTGTCATTATGTCCCAGTAGTGGTACTGGTTTTCTGTGCACTTGTAAGCTGTGCAGCCATCTGAAAAAACGACACTATAGTTAATGAGTCTTTAGGCATGAGGCTGCTAATCTGGGCTGTGTGGCTTTTAAACAGAAGCCTGTGAGCTATGCTTCGGCTGTTGAGTATTACGTCAGCAATATCTCTGTATTGCACCATTCAGTTGGAGAGTCAGAAATCTACAGCACTTGAGCGGAAGGGTCCCCTGTGATAATTTTACAGCAAAGTCAGTAATTTTAAGGTAAAATTTCCTGCAAGAGATTTCCCTAACTTAAACCAATCATGAATACGTATGAAAGTTCATTTTACTAAATAGCCTGTCATTGTATGTAGTCCTTGTACCAGTAATGGAAATAGTGATCACATTTCTATTATTTTTAAGTGTCAGTTTTGGTTTGGTTGTAGTTTATCTTGCTTTTGAGAATTGTGTAGAGAGAAATAGGAGTTATATTGGTTTACATTTTCCTGTTGTTGAGAAAGAAATGGGCTGTAAGAGTGAGCCTTTTACTTAGTTCTGTGCCCTGTTATGAATTACCAGAAAGTCTCAGCTGGGTTTGCTGAGAGTACAAATAGTGAAATGATATTGTTGTGTGGCATTCACTTTCACTGTGTGCCAAATAATGTTGCCATACTGAAATTTGGGAATGCTGTATGTCTGAGTATTTCTACATGCATGCACAGTGGTTATAATGGGAGATAGCTAGCATTGTCATGTTCGCTTTTTTTTTCAATGATAGTATGAAAATCCTTGATTAATACTGTTGTTTTACTATGTATAACCAACAGAAGTGACACTAATGTCATCTTTTGGAGGATTAAAACTTAGGATGTACAAAAAGTGCAATGAAATTAGATATGTCACAGAACGGAGCCAGTTAAGATACTGAATGAGGCAGATAGTGGCTGTTTCTTTTTTAAAATACTGAAATTCTGTAATTCTGTGCCCACTTTTTTTTTTCTTTTTTTTTTTCTTTTTTTTTTTTCTCTGAACTTGATCCATTTTCTCTCCCCAGGACTGGAATCTGACATGGCACACAGAAAACCCAGACTTTACCCACTGCTTTCAGAACACAGTCCTGGTCTGGATTCCTTGCATTTACCTGTGGGTCTGCTTCCCAGTGTACTTCCTATATGTTCGTTGTCATGACAGGGGATACATACAAATGTCAAATCTCAACAAAGCCAAAACGGTATGTGACTTTAAAATCAGAACTAAGCTTATCTGGAAGTTTGAATCTATGTTCAGCTATGTTTTATCATACTGTTTTTACTGAGCATCACTCTTGGCCTGCATGCTGTAACTTACTTGTTCTACTTGTGTTTAATTTCCAAACCTTATGTGTTTCTGTTGCCCTTTTATCAGTAGGCTTTCTGAGATTTACTCTGGCATAGTAAAAATGCTTCCAAATTCATTGTGAGTTGGAGAAGACTATTTTAAGGACACTCAATCTCAAGGCCTTTATGTCAATAATAAGAATTTATTATCCTGTTAACTTTTAGAAATATATGCTGTGTAATTTAGGAACTTCTGCAGGTGTTCTATTTTCACTGTTATTGTGAAATACATACTTAATGTTTTCTTTCTTTTTTCCCTCTGTAGAATAAGTGAAAAGTTTTAAGAAGGATTATAATAGCATGGTGTATTGGAGAGTTTTTGTCTCTGCAATCTATTATTCAGGAGTGGGATTCACCAGCTTTCTGCTTCATAATGCACTGAATTATATGGTACTAAAATTAGTAAACTTTTTTTCTTCTAGTGGGGGTCTAGTAGGCAAAGCAAAATTACTCTTTTTTTATTTTTGTGCATGTTGTAGAACTGCCCAAAAGAGATGATCTGATTATGACTCCTCTTCTACTAACGCATAACATCTAGTGTCCATGTACATATTGTGCTGCCTAATCTGTGTGAACTGATGTATGAAATACACTTTTGTATTTCAGGCTTTGGGCTTAGTGCTGTGGATAGTCTGCTGGGCAGACCTTTTCTACTCTTTCTGGGAAAGAAGTCAAAATATTTTTCGAGCGCCATTTTTCCTCATTACGCCTACAGTATTGGGTATAACAATGGTAAGTTCTTCTGTAATGGCTGTTGTTCATGCAAAGCCTTGAGCAATAACACACATCTCAGTATTATTCACAGTGTTGTAATTCTTAAAGGTACAGTCTTTACATACAGGTTTAATTTGCAGATGAACTGTGAATTATTGACTCTGGAATGTCTGCTTTCTTTCAGTAAAAAAAATTAGGAAAAAACCCAACCCAGCTATGCTCAGTGCATTGCATGTCAGCACAGAAGCCAGCGCTAGTGGTCTTGCCTTGTTTCGGTGTGCTTGAGCTACCATTCAGTTAATAGCTCAACTCAGATACGGGCTGGAGGAATCAAGTCAGGAGGACTGATTAAAGTTAGATAATATAAACCACACTGAACCTGGAAAAAGGCTGTCAAAGGCACCTTGAGTTATTCGGTATCTTACTACAAATTCTCTTGTGGGTAATGTGCTTTAGCACATGTTTTCTCTTTTACATTTGGTGGCATGGTGGAAAGTATTAAATGCCTCATGAGGCATATAGGTGTCCCCAGCTAACTCCTTCTACCTCTATGTGCAAGTATTGTCCACTTTTATACCCGTATCTCTGCAGCGTACATTTCAAGGAAAATGCCTTGCTGTTGTTTATTGTCAGTTGCCTTACAGTTATCACAGACTTGCAGTGGTAGTGATTAAACATGATATTCAAGAGGGGGACTGGACAGGGTACAACAACCCCAACAGCAGTATCAACAAAACCAAACCAAAATCCTCAACAGCCCTGAAACACAATGACAGGTGCAAGAGCTGTTAAATAGTTTGTGGTCATTTAATAATGCAATTGCCAAGCTTTTGTCAGGCTGATGGAAAATGCATGTTGCAGCAGCCAAGTGAGATTATAGAAATAGAGTAATATTTGGTGAGGGTTGTTTGGTGTTGTGGCTCTATGGAGAGAAGTATTTTTTCTGATTAATTCTTTTTATAATAAATACTTGGAAAGGATGTAGTATCATTGTAATTACATACTCATTTGTAATGTAGAACCAGAAGAGTAAAGAACTAAAAACTGTCAGCTTTTGGTAGTGCTTTTTTGTATCTAGTTGTTTATTTCTACATATGTAGTCCTTTTCCCCTTTTTTTTTCCACTTATGTTTACTGCTCCAGAGAATTTCCTATTTAACATATTTTTCAATTGCACCTAAAAATCTCTCTGTATTAGAATACCTGGGAGATACCGGATTTGAAAAACAAGGACACTCTAACACTGTACCTTGTATATGTGTATAACGTATTGTATAACTTACAGCTTGTGAATATATTTTTCTTATTTGTCCACAGTTGCTTGCCACATTTTTAATACAATATGAAAGAATAAAAGGAGTCCAGTCTTCAGGTGTAATGACGATTTTCTGGCTCGTCTCGTTGTTATGTGCCACAGTGGTTCTTAGATCCAAAATAATACATGCCTTATATACGGTAAGTGATTGCTAACCTCGTTCAGTTGAAAATAATCCTAAATGTTGCAATAGAGCAGTTGCTTGCTAATTATGCCAGTTAAGTCAGTTAATGATCCATTCGGCCTACTTTCATTTCTAGAGTTATAAAAGCAAAACAAGCTAGTTTTAGTGGCCTGTGTTTTGAAATGCTGGTGAAATTCAGAGTCGTCTTAACTGTAGCAACAGTTGCCTTAAACTCTTGCTTAGTTGCCTTAAACTCTTGCTTAGTTGCCTTAAACTCTTGCTTAGTTGCCTTAAACTCTTGCTTAGTTGCCTTAAACTCTTGCTTAGTTGCCTTAAACTCTTAGTTGCTTAGATATGAAACTATTCTGGGAGTTTACATCATCTTCCTGTTGATCATACTATGGATTTCCTGAAACACTTGCTTTGATGGTAATGTGGTCTCATGTGCTGAGAGTAAATGAAAGTGTAGAAGTGAAATGTTTATATGTCAGTCTGCTTTATACTAATGCCACCTGAAATATCAGATTAATTGTGGAGCTGCTTGAAAATGGCATGTAACTTTTTATTTCTTGAAACGTTTAAGGCATGTTGTGAATTTAGAGAACTTTCAGCTAACTTATGTCTTTAACTGTTGGGAGTGGCATTTTACTGGGGGATATATCCAGCTGTCCCCGTGCTTTGATTTTTCTGGATTATGCTTTATGTGTCAGTCCCAGTTTAAAAAATGAAAGAAGCTCAACGCAGCAAACTAATCTAAATTCTCCTCCTCTGGTTCTTACTTTCTGTGTGCATACTAATTAACAGATTTACTTTGAAAGCTCCTTACTCCCCAGTATGTAATTACCTTGACTTCAAATTGGGGCATGCTGTGCTGGTACAAACTACATCTTAAAGCGAACTTCTCTACGAAAGAGGCTCATGCTTGTTGTTAATGGCAGTGACTGATGCAAAATAAATGGTATCTTTTATCTTCCCCCCCACCCCCCTTAACTTCCCTTTACCAAAATAGACATTTACATAATTTGCATAGGTGTGGGCAGTATAGCCTTTAGGTAGTTGGCAGAATTTACAGTAAGGATCTATTTTACATTTAGTAGTAATGTGTTGTTTTAAAGCAATTTGTTAAACCTTCTAATTGGACTCTTACCTTCCTTTGTAGGGTGCTAAAGTGGATGCGTTTCGTTATGTCACCTTCTCCATCTACTTCGTTCTCTTATTTGTACAGCTCATCCTATGTTGTTTTCCAGAACAACCACCTTTGTTCTCTGAAACAGTGAATGATCCTGTAAGTGTTCAGTCTATGCAAAGTGCTGAGTATCATACCTGCCATAGTTTGCACAATGAGCTACAGGGCCATAGTCTCCCAGATGTCAAATAATTAGAGACTTGTTGACTTGTTTGCAGTAGTGTTCTTTCTGCTCTTTAGTTGTTGACACAGATGATGAAGCTTATTGGATTCCACAGTTACCTCTTCTCTGTTGGTATCCACTGGCAGAGAGTTTCTCTGTGTGTGCCTGAAGGGAAGTGTGTACTGCTGAGTCTTTGGATCCTCTTAATCTTTAGCCTCTTTTCAGTCTTATTCAGCGATGAAATGTATTTGACAAGACACTGTGGATTTATGGGAACCTTCTTTTCTGCTTTCATTATGGTTACAATAGTTACAAGGTCCTTTGAGACCACAATAGTTTGGTTTTGTGTTCTGAGTATTTCCGGGATTGTCTGAGGAAGTAGGGCACGCTTCAAATTTTAACCTTCTTTTTTCATGAGTGGTGTGTTTGAGTGTTTTGATGAGGAAAAGAATAAAGCAAGTTGTGTTAGTCAGTCTTAAATTCTGCTTTATTACCTTCTGCCAAGCGTTTCCAAACCAGAAATATTTTCAAGTGTTGAGTAAAATCTTATTATATGTTTTCTTAAGCCAAAAAACTACTGTGAAATTTCTGAGATGTATATAGAAGTGAAACAATGTGTTTTGTCTCTTATTTTACTTTGGTTACATTATGTAACTCCAGACTAGTTACAACTTGTCTTCATTCTCTCTGGCATGCATGTCAGTAGGAATAATAATTCTATGTGACATAAACAGTATTATCTTAACAGTAATCTAATGCTTTAGTGTGTTAAACTTGTCAGTTTAAATTGGTCCAGTTTTTGGTAGCTTTGGACCTTTTTTTGGTAGTTTTGGACTCTTGAATTTAAAGTTTCCACCTGTGAGTAGATAAAAAAGGTATAAACACAAACCAGCATTCTATGTAAAGTTCAGAATATTTTGTTGAAAATATTCCTTGTAGTTGCTGAAGTAGAAATCTGCTTGGCTGATGGATGAAAGTACTGCTGTCAAGCCCATCTTTTTTTTTTTTTTTTAGCTTCTCCAAGTTTAAAAGCTTTGATTCATTTGTTAAGGAATGGTATTGAATTTGCTTGAAACATTTTATTGCAAGTGTTTAAATACTCTGGTCCCCTTTCAAAAGAAGCATGTCTCATACATGCTCTTGTTGCCTAGGAAGTTGCAAAAGAAGCTGTTGTGTGGAGAAGAGGTGGTGAAGGCATCTGTTTTACGTAGCTTAATTAAAACACAATTCCATATAGGTTAGTGGAGAAGCCACGTTACACAAATAGGAGCTAAGAAGTGCAAATGTTGGAAGCACTTGGCTCTGTTTTAATCGCAGTACTGTGATGATGTTTAGTGACTTTTGTAGATGGAAATACCGGAGTGCCTCCAGTTATAATTGATGCTAAAACCCTACTGGTTTGGGTGCTGACGGAGTGGCTGGTTTTAGTATTCTTTAGATGCTGTTCAGAGCACTGAAAGAGGGAAGGGAGAAATCTACACTGGAGTTCTGCGAGTAAATCAACTTTAGTGCCTTTGAAATTCTTTCAGACTTCCTCTCTTCAGTTTTAATCCGAAGAGATTAAGAGAGGATGTTAACCTGAAGAGTAAAGGCAGCCGTTGGTGCTGGATATATGAGCTAGCGGCATACCTTTATGGGTTCTTAAATTTTCCACGTGCTTATTGATGAATGAGGTGCAGGGTTACAAGGACTGTTTTGGGATGCTTTTATGGAGTTTCTCCATTTGTGCCTCTGTTTTGATGGAGTCATAGCACTTACCTACTGGAACAATAGAACCGGATTCTTCATTTATGACTAACTCTACCCAGTGAGTATATTTATGCTCTCATATGGAAGCATACCTTGCACTGATATAGGTAGGCACTGACTGTGACATCTTGAGAGATTGTCTGGCCTGCACTGTCTTATAAAATTCCCTCAACTATTTGTTGCCTTGTTGATAGAGAGCACTGCTGGTCCTGTATGCCAGTGGTCTAGTCTGCTAACAGCCCTGAAGCTGTGCTTGTGTTTTCTGAACAAGCTCTCAGTAGCATAAATGACAAGCTTAATAACGTGAAAAAATACACCATAAACAAAAGGAATTTCCAAAGCATCTTTTCTGCTTTTTTTTTTTCTTTTGGTCCTATATCAACCACTTTGTGGACTTATTTCTTTTTCTCTCCTTTAGAATCCGTGTCCGGAGTTCAGTGCTTCTTTCCTCTCTAGAATCACGTTCTGGTGGATCACTGGGTAAGATCAAGATGATGCATAAAACACCAGTTAAAGTTAAATGGCATTTTAGGATCGTGCTTGGAGAGTTAGATTAGCAGTAGTCATGCAATAATTTTGATTGATTGGTTGTTCTGTAGATTGAATTAATTTTTTTCTTTCAAGTTTGATTAATCTTTTTTACTTTGTAGGGTATTTCTAATATTAGAAATTTTGCCAGTATGTTTAATATGTTTGCTGAAAGAATACAATAAAAAAGTCTGTGTGAAAAATAACAAGGTGGAAATTATCTGCTGTATTTAGAAACTAAGGCATTCAAAACTATTAGCTCTCTTTGTCCAATAGGTTCTTTTTTTTTTTTTTGCACTGGCTTTGGTTTAGTTATGCTGTGTGATTTGATCACAACACATGGTCTTGTGAGTTAAAACACAAAAATATGTGAAATATATTGGTGTATAGTTGTGGTTGGTACTTGGCCAGAGTTCCAACAGAAAGCTGGATGAAAGGAATTGCTTTGTAACATTAAAAGCTAACAAAGATTTTGAAACTTGGAAGGCATGGGAATATTAATTGCCTGGCTGATTTTCAAATGAGATCGCTTTATCCTTTCTTCTATTTTCCCTGAAATTTGAATTCATTGGCGTATCCTGGATCCTTAGATGTTTTGGTGTCTAATTCCCACAGTAAAGACAGGAGGATGTATATTTTAGCCACTGGATCTGTGTTGCTACATGTACTAACTCTTGCATGTATTTTTGTAAAGAATTGGCTCTGTTTTGGGGCTGGATGTCCAGACCACTGTCTTATAGCATAAATATATACACACATGCCTATGCCTAGTATTCTTCAATATCTATCTCTGATTCTTTCTAATACAGGTTGATGGTTCAAGGTTATCGGAGACCTTTGGAAGCTAAGGATTTGTGGTCATTAAACAAAGAGGACAAATCGGAGAAAGTACTGCCAGGTTTGGCTAGTAACTGGGCAAAAGAGTGGGCAAAGACCAAGAGGTAAGTTCAGTTGTCCTGGCTGGGAGTTCTTCCAAGATACGGAGGTTAAAAAGCTCAAGTTATGCAGACTCTTCATAAATGTGTTTGTTGTCTATTGTCAAGCCTGCTTTTGTAAGGCCCAAATAGCAGCTCTGTATTTGTCCTTAAGTGCATACAGAACAGCAACCAAGTAGGCTGTTGGGTGTCCTCCTTATGAAGAGCTGCATCAGGTTCCTATTAGTCTTTTATGATCCAAAGCTGATTATTTTTGATGTGTGGTTTTTCCCTCGGGCTGGAATGTTATGACACGTTCACACTTCAGTCACATCGTTTAGGAGCTTGGGCTCCCTCTATAGCTAGTGAAGCCTCAGGAGGGCAGTTCAGGGAGTAAAAGTGGGAAGTATATTTCTTTCCTTTGACTATGTAGGGAGCCTGGGTGTCTAAGCCAGATGACTAAAATTAGAAAGACTGAATGCCTGTAGTTTCCATCCTGCTTTCATCATCCTTTACTGCAGCCAACAGAAGTACCTTTTCATTGAAGGAAAATTGCTTGCTTGCTTACACTCAGAGTTCTGAAGTATGTAGGTTGGCATAAGCCAGATGTATGAAATGAATGTGTTTGGTGCATTGGGGATCACTTGGCATAAATTTGACTGCGATCTTTTAACTCCAATGGTACAGTAAGGCCTTGATTTTGATGGACGTTCAGCATACTAGACTCTAGAATAATAATGTCCTTTGCTTTCTAACTTTAACGTAGGTTATAGTTCTATTCCTCGTGCCCAAGGGCAGACCTATAGGAAAGATTTGACAGAAATGCTACCTATACCTGCAAAGACGACCTGGCTGGTCCATTTAGCTGTGGTTGTATGATTAAAAAGTTGTTTGGTGAAACCCAGTTAGACTATTATTAAGAAGTGCAGTGAACAGCTCATAAACAAGTCATTTGTATACTGTATGTTTTTCCAATTGTGTTTTATGCTTGAATAACAGCTATGTTAACTATTTACTCTTTATTTCAGGCAATCATTGAACATGTTATACTCTCCCAAAAAGCAGCAAAAATCAGGTGACACAAGTGGTGATGTGACAGAAGAGGCTGAAGCTTTGATTATAAAACCATCTCAGAAGAGCTCTGAAGCATCTTTATTCAAGGTGTTATGTAAAACCTTTGGACCATATTTTCTCATGAGCTTCCTGTTTAAAGCTGCACATGATCTCTTAATGTTTGCAGGCCCGGAAATTCTGAGGTAAGACCTATATATTTTGTTATTGTATGTGGACAGCACTTAAAACACTGATGTTTTACTCACCAAGCTGCTTTGCCTCCAGTTGGTTCAGTGGGGAGGAACTGTCATGCAGTTAGAGACTGTGCATACAGATGATTTTGGTGAATTGCTTTTCAGATTATAACATCATGCATTAAATATTCGAGTTTTTATGTTCCTTTACAACACTAGGAAGGTCAGGCAGGAACAAAATCAACCTTAGCAGGACAGTTTATTTATTTATTTCTAACCTGTAATGGTTGTGGGAATACAAGTCACAATATGTGAGCCAACAGAGGGCTAAAGATGTAGAAGGAGTTGTATTGCTTTAGGGAGGGAGGTAGTAAACAAACTGTAAGCAGCTGAATTTTAGCTGGAAAAAATATGATAATGTGATTCTATGATTCTATGGAACTTCATAGTGTAGCTTCAGGAGAATGCTGTATGCGTGAGGTATGTGCTACTTTAAAGTAGGACATTGTTAGGAGGAGGGAGTGATATGTGCTTGTATAAAATGATCTCCAGTTTCTAAGAAGTTTGAGTAAGTATTTTATCTAAGTTAGATACTTCAGGTGCTTGCTTGACCCATATAACATTTGGAATAATATTAAGATTGTAACCTTGATGCTTCATCTTGATTTGCATATATCAGGAGAACTACTTCCTCTCTCCGCAGATTGCTCATCAGCTTTATAAATAACAAAGCTGCCCCAAACTGGCAAGGCTACTTTTATACAGGACTGCTGTTTGTTTGTTCCTGTCTTCAGACACTGATTCTTCACCAGTATTTTCATATTTGCTTTGTAACTGGAATGAGGCTCAAAACAGCTATTGTTGGTGTAATTTATCGAAAGGTGAGTGTTCCTTATAAATTTAGGTAACCATGACTGTGTGAATACATCGCTCAAGTCTGAGTAACTAAAGTAGTTAGGAGACTGGTAGGCTGCTTCCTAACTCAAGGGAGTATCTAATTTATAAAAAAAAGCTTTTAGGATAGAACAATTTTCTAATTTACTAGTTAAAGTTCAGACACTTTTTTTCTTCCAAAGCAGTTGAATTTTGTGGAGAAAATTCAAATGTATGTCTTCCTTCATGTTGCCTTAATTGTTTCCTTTTTTCTTTTTTTTTTCTGATCTGCACCTAGGCACTTGTTATCACAAATTCTGCTAGAAAGACTTCTACTGTGGGTGAGATTGTGAACCTAATGTCTGTGGATGCTCAGAGATTCATGGACTTGGTTACCTACATAAACATGATTTGGTCTGCACCTTTCCAGGTGGTATTAGCACTGTACTCACTGTGGCAGGTGGGTATTCCGTGTTGTTTCTTGCTTTGACTTTTGCAGGGGGCTGCTTCCTGTAGTTGTGACTACAGACAGCTGGTGTTCAGACTCTGAAGGGTTTACAACAGCGTGGGGAAGATGCTGTTTGTTTATAAGCCATTTAGAGCTGCTTTTGTCACCACTTTCAAGAAGGAAGGCAGGAGGTTCTTAATTTTGTACATCTGAATGCATGTAGGGAGGATGCGGGTGGAGGTTACTATCTTTTGGGGCACTGCAGTACCTGTAGATACCTGAGCAGTATCTCACTTGTCACTTCACGTAAGAAAAGGTGTCTTGGCTCCGCACTGTGAGAATCAGCGTAGGAGATGTTTGCTGTTTCTACTTCACACAGTCACTGGGCTGACTTTTCCTGATTGTCCCTGTCAATCCAAAAGATAATTAAGTTCCCAAGAAGCCATTTACTCGCTGTGTGGACCTCTACTTCAGAAGAACAGGCAAGCCAGCAAAAGCTGGAAGACATTAAAAGGTCTCTTGTGCATATAGAGAGACTGATCTATATCTATATATACACCTCTCAATTTGGGGCTATATGTATGTATATATACGTTTGTTTAAAAAATATCGAAGCACTTAAACATCAAACCAAGCTCCTACTTTATCTTCTTTTTCTTCCGCAAAGCTGTTCTTGAAAAGAGAAGAGGTCGAAAAGCTATTTCAGAATGCTTTTCTGTAGCATAGGCAGTGGGTTGAACGAAGATTTATAAAAATGAGTTTGAATAAATGTTTACAATTAAATGCTTTTCAGACTTTAGGTCCTTCAGTGCTGGCAGGTGTGGCTGTCATGATCATTCTGATTCCAATAAACGCTGTGATGGCAGTGAAGACAAAAAACTATCAGGTTAGAACCTTTATGTGTGACAGTGCTTTTAAGAAACGAGTTCTGTTCTTTGACTTGTTCCTGAGTGTTGTCCTTCTATATTTTTTTAACTCCCTCTATTTAGCCCTTGAAAAGAAGGAAGGGAATGAAAGGTCAGAGGTGTTGTGTATGCAAAATAAACAAACTCATGTTATTTTTCAGCCTTAGAGCGTATCTGTACATAATCGTGTAAAAGCCTTGCAGTAGTTAAGACCAAGGTAGCAGGTTAGCTAGCTTCATGAAATTCCCTGTGACTGGATTTTGATTAGTTTAGGTTTTCATTTGCTGCTTAAACTGCTGTCTGCCTAATGAACCCCAATGAGTGAAATACATTTCCAGGATGGTGGTTGCCATGTTGGTGGGTCTGTGTGTGCATGGCTTGTTCTTGATGTGATTATTTTTATTTTTTATTTTTATTTTTATTTTTATTTTAATTTTTATTTTTATTTTTTATTCTTCCTGGA